CCCCTAGAGGGCTCAGCCTGACCTGCAAGGCCACCTCCTCACCCTTTCCTTTCAAACCTCACCTCCTGTTGATCCCCAATGCTCCGGCCAAACCAAAATGCTCAGTTTCCAAATTTAACTTCACTACGGCTCCCTGGGGTGGGTTGGTTTTGCATTTCTTTAAATGGTTAGTGAGAACAAGCCCTTTCAATACATGACTGTTAATGGTGGCCAGGCCCTCTTATCCAACTGTGTGTGCGGTCTGGCTTTATGCATGAGCTCACCCTACAGAACAATCTCAAAAGAGAGAATCCTGTGTCTGCCAGAGTAGACAGTACACTCATGGGACTTGCCTCCCCAAGTGGTGATGCAGGATGGGAGAGAAAAGTGGTTCCCCAGAGAGAACCAACGGCCATACTCTTACCTGAGTAAGGGTGGGTGCTGTGATATATGTGTAATTTTACATGATTGCCTTACTTGAGCCTCATAAAAACACTGCAAGCTAATTAGGCAGGTATTGTTGGCTCCACTTTACAGATGTGTAAAGTGAATTTCATTGGGGCACGCAGCTCAGTAAAGAAGCCATGATCTAAATGTCTCAAAGTCTCGACCCAGGATACACCAGGCAGCCTCCATAAACCAAGGCAGGCTTGTCTCGGGCTTGGGGCCCTGGAGCTGGAGGAATGAGCTAACTCCAGGAGGGTGAGTCTGAGCCTGAGAGATCATATGCACTCACTTCGTGACTGGTCCCAGTGAAGGAGGTAGGGTTCGTGGTGCCCCTCAACCAGCCGCTGCAGCTCAGAGGCACTGAGGGAAGAGGACAGAGTGAAGTGGGGGCAGGGGCGCAAAAGCAGACAGCCCTGCTGCCCTATTTCGTCCACCCTTCACCTACTGTCAGTACATCCCATGTCCTTCCTTCCTCTCGTCATTCATCCTCACCAGCAACCATCACCCGCCTACCCTTTCACCCAGCACAGACATCACTCCTCACTCCTCTCCAGCATCCCTGCCCCCTAAGTCTGTTCAGCAGAAATAAAGAACTCAAGAGAAGTGGGGCCTGGTCAGGGGAGGTAGTTAGTGTGTAACTGGAATTAAGGAGGCTGTGTAGGGAATGAGGGGGCAGCAGTGATGAGTGTGGGGTGGGGGACATTGCATCACTCACCTGGCAATCAGTCGGTGCAGGGGGACCCCCAGGGACAGAGACAGAGATGGCCAGAGACCTGTGGGGAGCTGGAGTCAGGACGCCCAGGCGGGGGGGCGGGGAGAGGCTGGGAGACACAGACCCAGACCATGGGGTTGGGTCACCTGTCCACAGTGGCTCCATCTGATTGGCTGCAGTGGGGCTGAGTACCTCTCCCCTCTGGAGGAAGTGCTTGAGGACCAGCCAGAGCCGCCCTTCGTTCAAGGTCTCCATGACGAGGGCTCGGACCGCCCGGTAGTTGGCGTAGATGTGGAGGGCAGTGAGGAGGAAGAAACACCCAAGGCTGAAGCTGGGGCAAGAGAGTGAGGCGGTCAACCAACGAGGCCAGAGGCCCAGCGGGGCATCTCCGTCACACCCTTGATCTCACCTCACCTAGGCCAATCTGCCACCAGAGGAAGCATCAAGAGGCTGACCAGGAGGCCTGCCAGGTTCACCAGCGTCTCCTGAAAAACGGCAGGGGAGTCGGTTGCTGGGGACGTCTCTTCCAGATCCAACTGAACGCCCTTCAGCGACCTTCACCACATTCTTCCCAGCCCCAGACCTCCCAGGGCTCCCGACTCTGATACGTGTGCCTAGTAAATTGTTAACGTTTCTGATGAGTAAGCTGTCATTTAAGAGATGCCAGCTGTTTTTCCACCAGGTAGACACAATACCCTTGGAACATGCCTCCTGATTTTGCAGGAGTCATCTGACTAGCCCCATGCTCGGGCACCTAAGTGAGGAACGACTTTCCTGTGGGGTTTACAAAAGGCCAATGACCCCTCAATCCCTCCATATGCAAGTGCCGGGGAAGAGCCAGCTAACCGTGCAAAGGGCTCTGAGGAACCACACAGGACACAAAAGAACAAGACTCAAATCTTTTCCCTTGAAACTCGATGTTACCAGAACCCATCTGATGGGAAATGACCCCAGGCCACCAGCTAACTCATCCTGAGGGCGGCTGAGCCTGGACTGGGGCCTCTGACTACTGGGGTCTGTAGGGGGAGTTCGTTCTGGCCGAGGGCCCTGAAGCTTGACGGCTGTTCTGACCCAGGCCTCCTGGCAAGGGGGTAGGCTACGGGGGCGACAGCCCACTGGGGGTGGGGAGCCTCGGGAGCTCAGGGGCACAGGCATTGCCTCTCCCCTGATGGGAATGATGGGAACGGTCATTGCCAGGAGCCTTGCCAACAGGCGCCAGCTCAGCAGAAAGCAGGTGCCTGCTGTGGGGCTGCACACATGTCCAGGCTGCCTCTGTGATGTGTTAGTGGGCGGAGGAAAGTTGGGGTCTTGAAAAATACAGCTGGGGAGCAGTGGAGGGGGTGCGAGAGAGGAGACTTGAAGCCAACCCAGAAGAGCAGAGCCTGGGTTGTACGCATTTCTCCCTCTCTAGCCACCCATGGAGGAGCTCTGGTGGCGTAGTGCCCAAGGCATCTGACTGCTAACCAGAAGGCTGGCGGTTCAAACCCACCAGCCACTCCTCGGAAGGAAGGTTAGGCAATCTACTTCTGTAGTGATCCTGCCTCAGAAACCCAAGGAGGGGTCACTGTGAGTCGGAGATGACTCGATGGCACACAGCAACAACAGCCGCCCATGGAGGAGCTCTGGTGGTGTAGTGCCCAAGGCATGTGACTGCTAACCAGAAGGCTGGCGGTTCAAACCCACCAACCACTCCCCGGAAGGAAGGTTGGGCAATCTACTTCTGTAGTGATAGCGCCTCGGAAACCCAAGGAAGGGTCGCTATGAGTTGATCAGAACTGGAAGAGACTAACAGAAGGGCAGTGTTTGCTCAGGGAGACAGCTCTGGGGGCAGGAATGCACAGGAAAGAAGGACGCAGGGAGAGGTAACTACAGGGAGGAAGTGGGAAGAGAGCTGTTACATTGTGGGGAATTGCAGTCAATGTCATGAAACAAAATGTGTATGAACTGCTGTATGGAAAATGAATTTGTTCTGTAAACTTTCACCCAAATCACAGAAATAAATAAATAAAGAGATGGTGAGGAAGAGCTGGTCCAACTACGTCCAGAGAGAAGGGACTCACCCAAGATCACCCAGAGACTGGACCTTTCTAGGCCTTGTTTAGGCACCCTGGTGGTGCAGTGGTTGACATACTCGACTGCTAATTAAAAAGTCGGCAGATCAAACCCACTAGTCACTCTGCAGCAGTAAAGATTTACAGCCTTGGAAACCCTATGGGGCAGTTCTATTCTGTCCTATAGGGTCATTAGGAGCCGGAATCAACTGCACGGCAATGGGTCTGGGCTGATGTCTTGTTTCCTCATCTGTAAGATGGGCACTAACCACACAAAACCATTTTGAGGGTCTGATGAGTTCATGCTAATGAAACACCTGGCACATAATAAATATCCCTGTAGCTGCCAGTCGCCTGCCACCCATAGCAACTCCAAGCCCAACAAAGCAAAATGCTGCCCAGTTCCGAGACATCCCTACAACGTCTCAGGGTCGGACCACTGTGACCCACACGGTCTCCGCTGGCAGATTCTCAGAAGCAGAGGGCCACACCTTCCCTCCTACTCCATCTTAGTTTGGAAGCTCTTCTGAAGCCTGTTCAGCATCAGACCAACACGCCAGCCTCCAAGGACAGACAGACGGTGGCCGTGAATGAGGTGCACTGGCTGGGAATGGAGCCCAAGGCTCCTGCGTGGAAGGTGACAACAACTACCAACACTCCCGTTAATAAATATTCAACAACAACAACACTGCCATCAAGTTGATTCTGACTCACAGTGACCCTACAGCACGGAGCAGAACTGCCCCATAGGGTTTCCAAGGCAAATCTTTACGAAAGCAGACTGCCACAGCTTTCTCCCATGCAGCAGTTGGTGGCTTAACTGTTGACCTTTTGGTTAGCGTTAGTTTTAATTTTTTTTTAAGTGAAGTTCTATTTAGAAACCGAGCAGAAAAATATAAGGGAAGGCCAGAAGGCAGGACTTGGCAGAGCAGAGCTTTCTAAACTGCTTCAGCATCAAAGAAAAGCAGCCCGTGCTTCTGGGACCGCCCGGGCCTCACTCTCCTTCCCTGTAAAACAGGGATAATTACAGTATCTGCCTTCCAGGGTTGGCGGAGGAGGGAAATGATACGTGCAGAAATGCTCAGCACAGAGATTTGGGCCAGAGGGAGCCAACACACGTAGGATTCAGTCTCAGGGGTGTTCTTGCCCTTACTACAGGCCTCCCTGGTCAGGTGGCGGGACTGGGCCAGAAGGGCCTAGGAAACTGCTGAGTGGAGATCGTCAGCCATCCCACATGCCCAGTCTTCCTGACCTGCTAACCAGTGTCACGTGTGGAGCCTCAGCTGCTCAGAACATTCATCTTCCTGGGTGCGGCTTTGGCCAAGAGAGGGTGAGGGCAGGGCGAGGGTAAGGGGTCACTCACGGCCACAGACAAGGGCCGAGATGCTCTGACTGGACTCACTGTCCGCAGAGCCCACGTCCTCACATCTGACCCCACATCCTCAGAGAGGACGAGCACCCATGTCTTCCTGTACGCTCCTGACCCCGGGCCCAGGGACACTCAGTCGCCTCCCTCCATACCCCCCAGCTGGGGACCGGCCCCCGCCCCTTCTCCCCCATGTCCTTCCACCCCACCTGGCTGCTATCCTTGGCTGACACGTCGGCCATGTTGTTCCTCCGGGCCTGGTGCATGGTCAGTGCGGCCCGCGTGGCCCCGCCAGCCACGCTCACGATGCACTGGGAGGGGAGAGGACGGTGAAGGTCAGAGAGACCACAGCGTGGCAGCCGAGGCCTTTCTGTGGGTGAGCCAAGCAAATGGTTCACACCAGCCTCGGAGAAAACCAGGCCTCATGCCGCCCCACGGCAAAACCCTGAATGCTCTCAGCAGCCAGTTCCCACCCTGCACTTCCCCGAGGCCCTTCGCCAACAAGTCTCCTTACGGGAGAAGACAAAAGTCCTGCCCACTGTCCCGTGGACCTGGCCCCTGGGGGAACTCAACTTCCTTGCTCAAGGTGGAGGTGCAAAAACCGTATGGGCCCAGAACGTCCTCATCTGCCAATTACTCTGGCTCCTGCTTTTCCTCCTTCCTTCTGAGCTCCCAGGCCTAGTCTGGTTTCCCACTTTATGCCTCTGCCTGCTCTCTGCCTGTCCCAGCCTAGGCCTAGTAAGCCTTTCAGGCCACCCCCAAACCCACGCCACCGGCCCTCACATCCCTGGGCCCCAGGTTCTCACCCTGAGACTCAGCATGAAGACCTGCTGATGATGGTCACCCATCACCCTCCTTTATCCTGCATTTATCAATCCTTTTTTAGATATCAGACACAGATCTAGACGCTGGGACACACGACAGACATGGCCCCTGCGCTCATTAAGTGGATAAATCAATACACGATAAACACACACATTTTTTTGTTCAACAGCAAGAAGAACGTGGCACAAAGTGAGGCCGAAGTGAGGGAACAATGCAAAAATGAAAAACAGTAATAAAAGTGAGGCCGAAGTGACTGCGAGGGACTTGACCATGTGGAAGCCTGCAAGCTTCGTGAAGTCTCCGTTCTAAGAGCAGTGGGGAGCCACGGTGGGTTCTGGCCACGGAAGTCACCTGGTTTGATTTCCATTTTTAAAGGCGTATCCAGCTGCTTTGAGGACAGAAGAGGAGTGGGAATGAAGAGGGAGACGAGATAGAAAGCAAACTGATTTTTCAGGCAACAAGATGGCAGTGGTAGGGAGACGGAGGAAATGGATTAGAGAAATTCAGAGGAAAAAGGAACAGGATTGAGGAGAGGGTTAGCTGAAGGCAACAGGTGAGGGGGAGGAGGAGGCACGGATGATGACCAGACTTCCAGGCAGTGCTGCCGGGGGATGGAGATACTGGTCACTGAGACAGGAACCCTAAAAGCGGGGCCTAGGAGGAAGTTCACGGCCCTATTCTATTCCCTTATTAGACAGATGAAGAGACGGAGGCCCCAAGGGGGAAGTTTAGTGGCAGAGTCTGGAGAGGTGTCAGCGGTCACAATCCTTGGTCCACAACTGCAGCAGTGAGTCCAAGGTGGCCCAGTCCTTGGGGTGTGCATGGAGGTGCTCAAGGCCTTTAGTGCCTGGGGCAGCAATGGTATGGGTTGAGGCCAGGAATTCTCCACCACAAAGAACTGTCATATCCCAAATGCCAGCAGTGTGGAGAAACATGGCTTTAAAGTGATTTTAAACAGATGGCCCTCATGTGTCTGCTTAAGGGTCCTTCCTCTGCGCCGGGCACTAGACCCTGGGCTGGGGACAGACAGCCCAGACATGACTGGACCTGTCTTCTCATCTGGATGAGGCCCAAGCCTACAGGTTGCTGAGCCAGGGAAAAGCTCACGTTCACACTGCTTATGCCTCCATCCTCACCGCTCCCGTCTGTTCCTCAGACCTGCTGTGCTCCTTCCGGCCTTTGGACCTACACCCATGCTGTTCCTTCTGCCAAGAACACCTTCGCTGCACCCTGAACTCACTCTTCAGGACCCAGCTGCAACGTTACCGTCCCGGGGAGGCCTTCCTGCATGCTCTGAACAAGCTGGACACCCCACTGAGACCTCTTAGGTCCCTACACTTCTTACCTGGAATACCGGTAGTTACAATTCTATAACAATTGTGTAATTATGGGTGGCTTCCTTTTTTTTAGATTTTTTAATTTTTATTGTGATTTGGGAGAAAATTTATAGAGCAAATTCATTTTCCATGCAGCAGTTCATACACATTTTGTTTCATGACACTAACTGCAATTCCACATAATGTAATAGCTCCCTTCCCACTTCCTCCCTGTAGTTACCTCTTCACTGTGTCCTTCCCTCCCAGACACTCCTACCCCACCCCCAGCTGCCTCCCTGTGCAAACCCTGCCCTTCTGTTCTCCCATGATTGATCGCCCCAAGGAGTGTACCTACCTGCTGTAAATATTCACCCCACATTGCTGTCTATTGTTTGCCTGGAAGCCACAGGAGTGAGTTCAGTTCCAGACCTGAAGGGGAGCTAGGGGCCACGGTCTCAGGGGTCTCACCAGGGTCTATCTGTGTGGCTTCCTTTCAAAGATAGGAGGGCCCAAGTACTGTGCCAAACACGCATTAGACTCTCAGTGTATTATTTCATTGAAAGAATGAAAGGTTCTAGGCAAGATGCTGACGCTGGGCCACTCTGCTCCTGACTCAGAGCTCCCCCATCAGTCCTGGGGCTCTAGACACCGCCTAAGACTGACTGAGTGAGACGCTACAGGCTGGCGCAGGATCAGAAAACCCGCTGATGCTGGGCCCACGCAGAAACATCTAAACTCTCTCACCATTCCAGAAGTGCCTTGAGAGCAGGGCCCAAGCCAGGCTCAGCTGTGGGCCCCAGGTGAGCCCACACGGAGCCAGTACATGGGGGTGCCCCCGAGGTGGGTACCTTGGCCAGGTTGCTGGTGCAGACAGTTACGGTGAAGCAGACTGGGTACACAGGAGCCATAATCTCCAGGAACATGGCTATATCGTTGAGGATGTCAGCGAAAAGCCTAGGGGGAGGGATCAGAGGTTAGAGGTCAGAGGTGAGAGATTGGCGTTAACAGGGCTCCCTTCCCGTCTGCCTCAGTCCCTCCCTTACCTCCACTGCTTGGCATTACAGTCCAGTTTGCTCCTGTGGGGGAGAGAAGGATACTGTGTTTTTGATTTAAGGAGAAAACACCCTGTGGGCAGTGGAGGGCAGTCCCAGGCCATGGTCAGGTCTGAGGAGTTCTGGAAAACCCACACCTCCAGCCAGACATGTGTCCCCGCAGCCTGTCACTGCTGTCTAAAATGCCACCATCCGCTGGAAATACCTTCATCGACCACCTAAGATCACTTCCTTTCTGAACTATGATTTACCAAGGAAAAACCTGCCTGTCTTGTGGCTGGCCCTCCTCCTCCTCTTGCTTCATTGACAACATCCAGAAACAAGTCGACATATTCTGGTGTAACCAAATTTAGTCTCACTCCCTCGTGTCTCAGATAACTAGCCTGGAGATGGGGTAGGACTTCCATGGATCACTTGGAGAGAGGAGAACAGGCCAAGAGAAAGACCCAAGTGCAGAGAGCCAGGCCTGGGATATTTCCACTACACAACACTGCAGGCGGCTGCATCTTTTGTGAGTGGCAGGCAGAGTGACCCTCCGGCCTGTGCACAGACACTGGGGGACGGTGTCTCCAAGACCCCAGTCACAGGAGATGCTGCATCCCTCAGTGGGGCTCAGGGTTTGCCGTATCAGCACCTGGTGCTGCTCTGACAGGAATACACCACAAACAGGACGGCCTTGACCAACAGGAGTTTATTCTTACAATGTGGAGGCCTGAAGTCCAAGTTCAACGTGCCAGGCTCTAGGGCTGGGTGGCAGCCCCTCAACCTTGGGCTTCAGCTCTGCCTCCTGCCCCCGGCCCACTGATGCTGGGGACCTTTCCTCACTCAGCTGCTGGCTACTGAGGCTGACAAGCCCAAGGTCAACAAGTCACAAGGCACAGTCCTGATATTGCCAAACCGCATAGCAGGCCGTTAGTTCAAGTCCATTAAAAGTCCCAAGATCAGCAGAGCATGGCAGGCTGCTGAACAATGACTCAGCTACACGCAGGGTTCAAGTGTGCCACAAGCTAGAGACCACTCCCAAAGTTGCTTCTTACATACGGGAAGCAGACCACATCGCTAAAGCAGCCACTCAGCTGCTTGTGGTAGATCCCACCATGGAGTTGACTGCCAGTCTCATCATGGGAATAACTACCACCAGCTGCCCAGGCACTCAACCAGGCCCAGCCGAGTTGACATACAACCTTAACTACCACAAGCCCTGACCCTTAATTTGAAATTCCCTGGAAGGAGAAGGAACGTCTTGGGTGGGGTGTGGGACACACTGGGGAGGAGAAGCAGGACCAGAACCCAGGGGTGAGATACATGGCCCTGGTCTGGGGCTCTGCTCACTAAACCAGCCTGGTACTTTGGACAGAGTACAGGCCTCAGGGTCAAATCCCATCTCGCTAGTTGTAAGCTGTGTGACTCCAGGGAAGGAAGGAACTTTCCTCTGCTGGGTCCGTTCCATGTCTCTAAAATGGACACATTCAATCCTACCCTAACATGCTGTGATAAAAATTAGAGACGACATACAGAAGCCAGCCCCTGAGAAGTGCAAGCTTGCTACAAACAGCTTATGCGTCACGTAGGGTGCTGGGTGCTCTACACAGACCATATCGCTGGGTCCTCACAGCCACCAGTTACGGCGGGTACTGTTACTATTGTTACTGCTGCGCTGCCACTACTAAACCGCCACTGACGCTGCCCAGGGCTGCTCCGGGGGGAAGGAGGCAGCCCTTCCTGACAGATAATGACGTCCATCCCCGGAGCCGTGTGGGATGGGGATCCTGACAACCTCCCTGAGTGCGCTGGCCACTTGGCTCGGCTCGGCAACAACCAAGGGTTTGAGCCACTGCAGCAACAGGTTTGGCGTGAAGTCACCGTGTGTGTGTGTGTGTGTGTGCACTGTCTTGTTTGTGTGTGTCAGGGGCACTGTCCTGTTCAGGCCTCCTTCTGGCTCCCTGTGCCTCCTGTGACGGGCAGCAGAGGGGCACAGCAGTATATCCGAAGTGAATTCCGAGCACGGCCACAGCTCTGTGGCTTCACCGCTAGGGGACCCTGGGCGCCTAGACCGGGTCCTTCCTAAAGACCTCTGCGCTCTGAGGATCCAGCTGCTCAAGGCTCCCTCACCCGGTATGAGGCTGGGAAGAAGGCTGGGGCCATCCACCTCTGAAAAAACGGGCCACTGAAGAACGTATGAACAGCAGTGAAACACTGTCTGATATATTTCTGCTATGAGGGGGGCGGCTCTGACAACATAGCCAGCAGGTGGCACATGAAAACGTCATGAAGACAACACAATATACTTTCTATAAAGCTGCAGACCAACTAAAACCAAACAACATTGTGCTCAGATGTATGTATGTGTGTGTGATTACAATATTTACAAAAATAGACAGGACTCCTGTATGAGAGGAGCAACCCGCAGCCTGCTGACTGGCAGGACAAACTCACCCCTTCCACCAGGCAAAGACAATGCGGCCCAGCATGCCAGTCGAATCTGGGGGAGAGAAGAAGGCACTGGTGAGGAACAAGGAAGAGCCGTGAGCACGGTGGGACCTGGCAGATCCTGCACCTGAACTGTCCCACTCATCCTGACTCACTGACCCTGGGAGCCGCATCCGCTGTGGTAGGTTATGGACAGAAACGCCTAGACTGGGGGTCAGAGGAATCCAGACCCAGCAGTACCCTGGTATGGACCCAAGAGAAACGGACCATGCACAACAAGAGACAGGAATAAGAATGGTCTTTGCAGCATCACTCCTAACAGCAAAAGTAACGGGGAATAATGCAAATGCCTAGCAATGGGGAAATGCATAAATAAAGTCCAGTATATTCCCTCCACGGCCTATCAGAGCGGCAGGAATCTAATGATCTACACCTGCATACGTCAGCACAGACAAAGCCTAGTATAAAAGTCTTGCATCAGAGAGTCATGAAGGCGACATACATCATTAGATTATCCCTAAAGCTCTAAAACAACTAAGACTAAACAATATAGTCTTTCAGTATATACAGCTATGTGATAAACTATTAAAATAAGGCAGGGAATACTAAGTGAAATGTTTATAGAGGTCACTGTTAACATCTGGCTCTTAGGTCGGGCCAGAGGTTCAAAGGCGGTTGGTAAGAGTATAAATACATTTAAAAAGGGACTTGAACTGCAGGCTGGTGGCAGAGAGCTGGTGCAGGGCAGAGAGAAAGGGCTTCTCAGGCTACAGCAGGTGGGAGGAGTCTCTGGAAACCATGGATCGTCATCTGCACACAAACACTAACTGGTCATCGACTCCTGCCAGGTACTGTGTGAGGCAGGGGCGCTGCAGTCAGTCAGTGCTGGTCCTGCCTCGCAGTCCAGTATGAGAGCAGATTGAGTCAGTGTGAGACATACAGACTTAGACCAGGAATGCTTAACCGTGGCCCATGGGCCCCACTCTGTTTTTGCACTGGGACTCAGCCACGCCTGGCTATCTTTGCGATACAACAGGAGACTTGAGGTGCTGCCAGAGACACTGTATAGCCTGCCCTGTATACCACCTGGCCCTTCACAGAAAAACTTGGCCAACCCGATTCTGACCGTCCTTCATGCTGGGACTGGCACCCACTAAGCCTAGCAGGAGGAGCGCAAAGTAATCCTTCAGAACCAGGCAACTGGA